GTTAAGGGCATTGCTCGCATCTTCGCCCAAATTTTCGGGTGAATCCCGCGCGGTGGGAGAGGCGGGGGGTGAGTCCTCGCCAGATTTCTCCTTGGCCTGCTGCCGGCTTCCCGGATGACCTAGCGTGTCGCGCAGGACAACGATAGACCGACCGGCGACACCAGCCTCTTCCCGGGAAGAGGACTGTCCATCCTTATCTTCGCTTATGGTACGGAGGCGAGAGCGAGTATGGCGAAGGGCGCGCGCATCGCTGACGACATGCTGAAATCGCTTTTCAAACCAGTAAAGACGCACGAAGACCAGCACAGTGTGGATGAAGATGGGAGTAGTCAGCATGGAGACCACGTACAAAACGATCTGCTGGTAGGTATGCAAGGTATTGAGGTCGACGGTGTTGAGACCGCTCTGGGTGGCGGCGCCGGCAGATAGGAAGAGGGCATCGGTGTAGTCTAGATTAGCCCCTGGATAGATGATGATTGAAGAAAGCAAAGAGGTGGCGATAATGTAGACATAGTGGATGAGCACAAAATTCATGCGCAGGTTCTTTAGCCATGGAATGTGGGAGGTGAAGCGTGAAGTGACCGAGGTCGCCCGCCGCAGCACGGCGGAAAACATCCTGCGGTTTCACCCGCACCGACTGGGACACTGGGATTTGCAGGGAGGAAAACTGTATCGGTAGGAGAAGAACGGATGGGAGGTTCGAAGAACGAAGGGGCTGCCGAATCAAGACGGCTGCTTGCCGATCAATATGTACGAGGAGGGAGGAAAAGAAGACGCAGACCAGGCCAAAGTCGCTGCAGGTCAGAGACCCACAATCGCAACAGCACTTTGAGCTGAGGAATCGAGGATCAACATGATTCGAGGAGGGTTATATTGGGAGGGTAGTAGAGAGGACGAAGGCCGGGCGCAGATAAGGGGACAGAAGGTCGTGAGAAGAAAAGAGAGGACGGGAAGCCCCGAGATGCAAGAAGACAAGACAGGCGAAAACCGCAGCGGGGAATAACGACTCGGTGGATGAGATGGTCTGATAAAGTGACCAGCCTTAAACCTGAGACTGCTAACCTCCACTATGTCGGTGAGCACCCACTTGGATTGTGGTGGGCGCTGCAAAATTCGATCGCTAGCTTGACAATCGAGAAAGGAGGCCGGATTGGCACAGCAGAGGGGGCAAAAAAAGATATCAGACAGAAGAAACGGAGGGTGAAGAGGCGCTACGCCGATCGGTCAAGCGCGGAATTAAAAGACATGCTGTCCACGGACAATTTCATTGGAGCCTAATGAGCATCTCTGGACTCTATCTCGCAGGTTTTAACGTTGGACTAGTCCCGAGTAGCACGTCTTGTCTTGACTTGGACGGGGAAGGAAACGCGGCAGTCCTGTCAGCTGTCACGTGACACTATGCAGGCTTTGCAGCCATCGATCGATCGATCGATCTATACTCGGTACAGCAAATGAAATTTAAATAGCATCCCTTCGTGTTATCTACACAAACTGACTTAACACACGCATGTCTGTAATCCTGAAACCCACCGTACGTTGACGGCAGGGAACGTAGGCTCCATCACTTTCCATGACATCTCCGGTGCCTTTGGCAACTAGTAGTATCTACTTTAAGACCGAAAACGGCGCGTGCCGCTGGCTACAATTATACGCCAATCAACCCGGCGTACCACGAAACCCTGGCCCAATACAGGTATCCCGCAAAGATCTCTGCTGCTTTCGATCCAGTACATCTTTCTACAATGTGGACGTTATGATTCGATGGGGGATCCGTCAAATGACGCAGAGAACATCGGGTATGTCGGTATTGTTTGAGGGGCAAGATTAAAATGTTGCTTGGTCCGAATGTTGCTCGCTGGCATTTCTGCTGGTGTCCCTGTCGGCATGCTTGCTGGTGTGATGGTAGGTTAAGGAGTCGCAACTTGCGATCCGGCTCGTCTCTTAGAGCGGAGGAAGCGTTTTCAAAGTGAGTCCTTCTTATTATTGACTTCCCACAGAAAGGCTTGTCTCCATAATCACCGCCGTTGTCTTTTGTGGCTTCCAGTGTCCTTGTGTCCCGAAGACTGCTTCTTGCCAGACGGTTGTACCGAACGAAGACTACCGGTATCATTATCAGAACCTGATTTCCCTGGGTTCGACTCGGAATCTGAGTCTTCTGACCCGGAGATGGAAATTTCCGGATCGGACCTATCGCTGTCTTCCAAGGAATGAACTGAATGATTGACGTTCTTCGGTGCAGATTTCAGCGACTTCGAAGACGAAGACGAATTGTCATCAAACTTGGACGTTGATTGATCCATACTGGAAGTATTGTCAGTCTCGGTCTCCTCTTCGCCTGACTCGTCATCCGACTCCACGTATTCAGAACTTTTAAAGTGCTTGTTTGATTGGCTCTGAGAAGACGTAATCGACCTCGATTTACCTCGGCGCTTTGGTGGTTTTGCCTCCACAACGGGGTCGTAGAAAGCATCCGGGTTTCCCATGCTACGCCGAGTCAAGACCTTGCGCCTGATCTTGCGAAATTTGTCTCCACACTGCTGCCTGGAACGGCAGTTGTCCATGCTGTTGCTGATGTTTCCCCAAGAGATCTTGGATTCATCTATCTCATAGATATCCCGGCCAACATCATGGCCTAACTTCTTCATGTGGGTCCACCAGGCCTGTAGATGCTCTAGTAGTGCAGATACTTCCCATTCAGACCAAGGCCCTCGATTCATCGTCTGGCGATGTTCGAGGTGATTCCTCCATCGCTGTATCACATCGTCATCGCTTCTACCAATCATCTTGGCGATGTGAGCCCACTTGGGCCCGTGGCGTTCATGAAGTAAGATGAGCTCGTCATCTTGTTCGGCAGTCCAATAATGTGGCTTCTGAGTTGTACATTGAAAGTGTCGTCTCATGAACCGATAAACCGATCTCTTGTTGCGACCCGGAATAATCTCATAGACCTTTTTCCAGAAAGCCGGTTTTGTGGTAATTTCCGTAGGACAAGGGAAGGGGTTTGACTTGTCCCTTTCTGAATGCTGCACCATAAGGTCGAACGTATCGCTCGACATGCCATGGGTGGTGCAGAAATCTAGTTTGAATGATTCCAATCCCTTTACTTCCTCCGGTGTGAAGAAACCAGATCTGTCTCCTTTCCCTTTGCTGGCATCCAGACCGCGCTTGCCCTTTTTAAAGTCCACCAAGCCTTTATATTTCTCGATAGATTGTTTTGACGCTGTGGTCAGGTTTCCTTCTAATTCCTCCTGGGCAGACCCTCCCTCTTTGTCCTTATTTTCTGGTTCTAGAGCGAGTGAAGCTGAAGATGCGTTCTCCAGGAGTACATTGTCGAGGTTTTCCTTGGCCACATCTGTTTTGCGACTCTGTATCTGGCTTTCTATGGACTCGCGGACCTTCTTGCGCTTTGGTGGATGATCCATTGGTGTACTGTGCTGCGATGGTTGAGACAATGTCAGTGCAGCATTGTTGGTGGCATTATCCAAAGCTCTCCTCTTCCGTCTGGATTTTGATCCATTTGCCTGTAGCTCCTGCTTGACTCCTTTTATGGGTGTTGAAGGGGTCGAAGGTATTTCCAATCCCGTTTGACTGTCCTCGAAATCCTCGGGGGCGTTGTTCCGCTTTTGGGAAGCATATTGAGGCGACGAGTTGCTCATTTCGAAGCAACAGAGTGAAGAAAGAAAATTCCAGTTTCCCAGTGGAAATTGAAACCTCAAAAAGAACTGTGGACGCAGAAAAATTGTTTGAGGTGAGTGAAGGGTGAGTAATCTGTCAGACAAAAAAAATCTAGGGAAAAGTCGCCGAGAAAGCTTTGGAGCGGCGCGAGCGGCGCGGCGCGACTTTTGGCGGTGCCGTTCAAGCTTTCTTTAGCGGAGAGATGTTCCATGCATTTCCTGGTTAGGGCGGTCAGGGTTGATATCTCTGAGCTCTTGTTAGGTGTCGCATCCTCTGCCTTGCTTCTGAAGCTGTGCAGCCGGCACTGTCTCCTAAGGGGAGGAAACCACCGAGGAGTCTTTTGCTAAGTGAAAGCTGTGGTCAGTTGAGAAACCCTACTGACACGCAGTCGAACCTCGGTCTGCTCAACTTTCTTTTTGCTTTTTTAGGATTTTCCCTGTCAAGGGCGGTCAGTAAGGCGGGTTGCCAAAGACAGGCAGAAAGAGTGCCGGGGATGAGGCACCCACGAGGCCGTTTGGTTATCTAGATTGTAAGTAGCAGGGCACCCATTGGATTTCGGAATCAGCAGCGACACCGTTAAGTAAACAATCCAGAGGCTAACACAACTTGGATAGAAAGGAGTTTACTTCTTTCAAACTCTCTGCCGGGCTATCTTGCAAGCCATCAATATGGTGCGATCCGACCATATCCCCCCAAAAGAAAAAAATAAATAAAAGAGCTGCTCAGGCTCGTTTCTATCCGCTCTCTTGCGCCTTACTGCAGTGTCAGTAATTCAAAAGTCAGTCACCGGAAGCAAATTGCTATAATAATATAAGATGATCCAAGCAGGAAATGCCACGCAGAGGGAATGAAGCAGCAAAGTCAGTCATGCACAGCAGAATGGGTAACAGTCAACAATCATTGTAGATAATAACAACAAAGAATCTCAAGAAAGGAAGAATAGACAGGTAACATTCGATATATTACATAATCAAATTTGATAAGTAACTAGTTAACACACACAGACAGACTAACTAACCGCCGAGTTCGACCAATCAGTCATCCACAACAGCTAAGCACAGCATGAGAATGTACATATGTTGGAGTAAGTTGAAATGAATTATTGGGTGTTAGGTTACTCTGTAGGTTGGTTAATTTATATATTGCTGGTTGTATTTAGATTAGTAGAAAATCACTAGATGATAAACCACTCGTACCGTTATCCAGTATGGTTGTGGCAGTGATAACGCGTGATGAATGCGACTGTCATCTGCATCGCATCTTCATTCAAAGTATCAATTGTAATACAGCCACTTGGGTCGTGATCTTCAAAAGGGTTTGAGCTGATGTCGGGTGCACAGCCTTTCTTGCCCTTCTCCATTCTCACCCTTCGCAGTATCCCCGAAAAGCCAGACCTGTTCACCAGGCATTAGGTACCCTTCTACTGGGAAAACATGTTGAGGAATAATTACATCCCTATGTAACCGGTAACTAAGGCGTCTAAAGCATATTATTTGATGACTAGACCCTAATAATTTATGGGCAACACACTCTCGTGGCCACGTACAGCAATCCACAACTGGGCCAGAAGATAATACAGCTGGCATATGTTGCCAAGAGGACGGTTCGCAGCAAGTTTCAGAAAAGGTGGGTCAATCAGTGCACGGCTAGCCATACAGCTGTGGGGACCGGGGACAGACCATATTTGATTGAATCTCGCGCTACTGGAGTGCTTCCGCTTCCTGCGGCTACGGAGGCAGATGTTAGATAAGGATTTCCAGATGTAGATTCGATCGGGAGGTCAAATCGGACCCGGATTTTAACCTAGGCCAGAAACACCTAGACCCATGGGCTATTGAGGCAGACAGTGAAGACACTGCGTAGAAGCCCCAAGTACGCCCCGTCTGGTTTACCGCGGAAGACTAAGCCTACCAGGGAGAACTTGCGGTTAGGAAGCAGGAAGTAACTAGTGGCAAAGACAGAGGATAGCAATTTGCAGGCAACTGGTGGGCCACCTGCGACACTCGTTTGATTCTACACCTAGTTTCTCCGTGTTCAGCTGAGGCATTGACGGTTTGTAGATACACGGCATGGCATTACTTAAATGTGTCGGATACTTTGCGTGATATCATGGGGTACGGCGTTCTGGGCCATACTCTTGCATCAGTGCATTTAGACAGCGAAGCACCTGAACAGCTAGCATCTTGTATACCGAGCTCGATCAGGTCAAAATATACAAATTGAATGGCATTAAAGATTGCGCAGCCACGGGCTTCAGTATTTCCTTCTTGGTAGCTGCACAAACGATGCCGGCGGCCAGATTTCAAACGTCATGCGAAGTGCGACGCGACGCAAGGTCGACTATGGGGAGGAGTGCCTCGGTCTTCAGAATGGTATGAACCTCCCGCCGTCGAGCGGGCATTTAAGAGTGCCTTGTGAGAGTTCTCATATTGTCGGTGTTGATGTAGTGTTTTGTTCCAGTGTTGCTTGCCATCATGACAGCTCGCTGGTGGGCTTATAAGGAGGCTGGAGCCCACAATTCAGCCCGTCTCTTCGAGCCGGTTCGGAAGGCAGGGGTGGTGAGTCCCATCGTTTTGCTTTGAGCAAGTGCCAAAGCGGGCAATGAATCAATCGAACGATATCAATATCCCTGGTAGTTGTCGCATGCCGCGTAGTATCTATGGGACGAGAAAATTAATCGAGTATCGCTCAAAATTTGCCTTATTGAGGCGTACTGTGGAAGCGAGACTGGTGGGTGTATATATTGACTAGAATATCGCTTGCTGACTGCGGAGTTGACTCAACCAGTTGTGTCGTATTAGCCTTGAGAGCTATGTGTTAAGGAGCTGCCAGCACCTGAAATTCGGTTCGTCACCAGCGGAGGCAATGATGTTGAGAGTCAAATCCTGACAGCCCATGTCACCATTCCAGGTTAACCCATCAACCCACCCAAGACCACGCGACCAACGCTATTGAGTTCACTCTTAGCCTGGTGACGGCTAGCATCCTCAAATTCGCGTATAATCCCCGCCACCATAATCTTCCTTATCTTGGCATCCGCCTTGGAAAACATTTCTCCCAATGCGACAGTACATACTGAAGGTGTGAAGACCAGTGACACCAACCGTGTGTAACAGTCAATGAGAATATCACACAGAGTAACGAATGTTTCGAAATAGTCCGGTTCAAAGGGTAATAATGGCGTCAGAAGATATGTGTACTCCTCACCCGGGAGGAGCTCTGAGGCCTCCGTATGCGGAAACGAGACGGTCGCAGCCGCCGCGCTGGAGTTACTCGCCATTGATTTCAAGTCCGTCGGGTCACTGGATTGCATCGGTAGGCCAATTTCTGTGGCCGAGCTGGTGCGGCGCGCTTTCGTGCCGGCGTGGGCGGCACGCTTGAACATCTGAGGGATACGGGCGCGAGTGAGGGTGGAGGAGGAGGTGCCGTCGGGAGGATGCACTTGCTGAAAAGCCTCAAATTCAATTAAGAGAGTGTTGAGTGCGCGAAGAAACTCCACGGGTGTTGTGCTGACATCGAGAATCGGGGGCAGGGAGAGGCCCAAGAGAAGGTAATTGATGGCGCGACGGGCAAGTTTACGAGGCTCGAAGTATGGCAATCGATTGATATCGGTCCGGGAAAAGTGGACTGTGTTGAACCAGTAGATGCGACCTTCATGCGCTTTGCGCAAATAGCCCAGTGTAGAGATCCGCTTAGCAGCCATATCGTGGATATGCTGATAGATTGCTGCTGCGCTTTGAGGCCCAAGTGATCCGCTACCACTCGTTAACGGGGGTGGTATGGACCCCACCGATGGGTCATGACTGATGCTGGATTTGGTGTCCCGGCGCGATAGGCTGGGGGCAAAAGTCGAGGAAATCATATTGGACATGGTTATGTAGTCGGAGGGGGGTTGCCTACCCCTGGCATAAACGTGGATTCCGTATTCCGGGGGATCGATGATAGTATACGGTCAAAAGGGGCTGGCTCGAGGAAGCGTGCTACTAAGATCCGTGGGACCGGGAAGGACATGGAGTCTCAGTGCCACGTGACCGTGATCTCTGCCCCGAAAAAAGAGTACAGCTGCGCCTGTGGGGACTTTGTCCGTCTGAGTTGAGGGGAAGTTATAGTTATCAATCCTACGAATACGTTATGATACTGAATAATATGTCCTCATGAAAGAGAAGAGGAAAGGACTCTGTGCCCAAGGGATACCGTCATGGCATCCTAGTACTTGAGATCCTAACGAGCGCGTCCCTTATCAGCTACAAGCTGTGCAGATAACAGAGACAAAGCTGTCTTGTCTATTTAGTTCATAGCATGTATTGTAGATTATCGAATAATGATATTGTAGTCCTTTCATGCAATGCTGGTACTAGCACTCGGCGTGCATACCTAACAGATCTGATTAGAAAAGAGCCTTGTGCAAAATCAAGGGTTCTCTGAGGCTATGGCAGACGTTAATAAGATTAGATTGACTTTAGAGTGGGATCATATATTAAAACTAACGACCTTTTGTCACTCATCCAGCATGTTAGCTCAGGGGAAGAGCGCCGGGCTCATAACCCGGAGGTCCCTGGATCGAAACCAGGACATGCTATCTTTACTTTTTTTTTTTTTCATTTTCACAGCCACATCTAATCTCATTCGATCTATTTCCGCCTCGCAGATTTCTAGCGCAGGCTGCTCCACGCTATTTGATTAGCTGGGAGTCATTCTTGCTACAATTAAGGATAACCTGAGTGGCAAGATTTCAGTTGCGGAGGTTGCTCTGGATTACATGGGGGGGGGGGGGGGGGGGGGGGGGGGGGGACGCGGTCGCTTGAACTATGGGCGGTCGATGAGGGGTGCGAAGAAGTGATGATGCGTTTCAGCCAAGAAACGATTTTATCTTTGAGATGGTACTAGATATAGACAACTTGAGTATGAACGGTATATATGCACCAGCAACATAGATTTAGCTTATATACCCTTGTGCTTAGACGGACCATTTCAATGGAATAGATGATTCACCATCTATATCTCCAAATGGACTAGCGTAGGGGTCTAAGTGACTATACCTGAATTGGTTAGTCGCTGGTAATCACCCCGGCTGGCCACTGACATGTGACCGACCGCCTTCCCAAAGGATAGGCTCCGAGCTGAATGAATGAATAGGAAGGATATCCTCCGGTACTCGACCGTCTTCTTTCCCCTCCATACGAATTATTGGCCCCTTGAGATGACCTAGTATCAGGTCTTCTCTGTGGTGAGCCCCCCTAATACTTTCTTGTGGCTCTGTTTTTCAATATGCTTTTGCGCTCGGCCACTTCTTATCTGATTAGAACTGGCCAGGGGTATCAACTATTCCTAACATGACACGCCGACTTGTATGTCCCTTTTCGTCTAACCATGGGAATCTCCCATCAGGAGATTTAGAACTAATAGGAGATCTGTACAGGTTCGAGCGGGCGTGCAGCTCGCTATCTTCGCATCTTTCATCGCTCTCCTCGTCGTGACCTTGGACAACAGGTTCCGTGTCCTTCCTGCCTCCATCCACGGCCATCTTCCATCCCACTATGCTGGCTACGCCATAACCGATGTCACTGTTGTGACTTGTTCTTCCATCAACGTCTTTTCGAACTGTCAACCAAGCCAGGAGTCCTGGTCACAGATCGAGAAAGACCTTTACCTTCGCACCGGTTGGACCTCAAGCGCATTTGTTCGATTTGAGCGAAAGAAAGAGGAGGAACTGCTTCCTACAGACAAGGTTGTTATTGACCTTAAGATCAGCCGACTTGTTCCCGAGTATTCGGAGGATCCTGAGGCACAAGGAGAGACATGGGAGCAGAGACCCGGTGGTATCTGGCTGAAGCGAACCGCTAAGCGCCACGCAAGTGATTCGGGGAAAGCAATCACCGCTATCGATGTTCTCTTCGGTGCCGATGCAGTCGATCCGCGAATTGGCTGGGAAGTTAGGGATACTCCACTGCTACTGGATAGCAGGACGGAAGAACTGGAAACTCGAATCAGCGTTCGCCGGGGAGATCCCCCCAAAACGAAGAAGCCAGTGCCCAGGATAAACGAAAATGGGCGCTTCAAGATCATGCAGCTGGCTGACTTGCATCTGAGCACCGGCTTAGGGGCTTGCCGTGACCCCGTCCCGGCTGAACCCGTCCCAGGACAGAAGTGTGAAGCCGATCCTCGGACGCTAGAATTCGTGGAAAGGCTCCTAGACGAAGAGCAGCCTGATTTTGTTGTATTAAGCGGCGACCAGGTCAATGGTGAGACTTCTAGAGATGCTCAGAGTGCTCTTTTCAAGTCTGTTAAACTGCTTGTTGATCGCAAAATACCCTACGCGGCCATTTTCGGCAACCATGATGACGAAGGTAACCTGAAGCGGCCGGAACTCATGACTATTTTGGAGGATCTGCCGTACTCTTTATCAACTGCCGGCCCCGAGGAGATCGACGGAGTCGGAAATTATTATGTTGAGATTCTTGGCCGCGGAAGCACCACCCACTCCGCGCTAACCCTCTACCTTCTGGACTCTCACTCGTACTCTCCTGATGAACGGCAGTTCCGCGGGTATGACTGGATCAAGCCGAGTCAAATTCGGTGGTTCAAGAACACTGCCCAGGGGTTGAAGACGAAGCACCATGAATACACCCACATGCACATGAACATGGCATTCATTCACATTCCGTTGCCAGAATATCGTGATCCCAATAACTATTACCGAGGTAACTGGACCGAAATTCCAACAGCGCCAGGCTTTAACTCGGGCTTTAAGGATGCCCTTGAAGAAGAGGGTATCCTGTTTGTGAGCTGTGGACAGTAAGCATGCCTTTTCCGCCCATCCATGACCCTTTGCTAACCCGCTCTAGTGATCATGTCAATGACTATTGCATGCTCAATCGGGATAACGAGGAAAAGCCTTCCCTTTGGATGTGCTATGGAGGAGGCGCTGGTTTCGGCGGGTACGGAGGATACGGGGGTTATGTGCGCCGCGTGCGCTTCTATGACTTTGACATGAACCCTGGCCGTGTGGTGACATACAAGCGGCTGGAGTATGGCGAGACGGAAGCAAAAATTGACGAGATGATGATTATCGACGGTGGCATTGTCAAAGGGCCTGAACAAGAAAAGTGAATCGGAGATTGATGCCTTTCTTAAGCGCTGATTGGTATTTTTCTCTCCTTTCTTTTCGAGCTGGGTCTCGCGAGACGTATATGGCCCTGCTTTTCGGACGACATCATCTATTCGAGGCTTTTACATCTATCACTGGGGAGGCGTTCCTATTTGAGACTTAACCGGCGGACATTCCTCTTCTTTTCTTTGTATCATATTACTATTCGATTCCGACATTTGCAGGATGCGTGGGCTGCGATAGCAGGCAATTTCTCAACAAAACTGATGGTTTTTTTTTTTTTTTTTTTTTTTTTTTTTTTTTTTTTTTTTTTTTTTTTTTTTTTTTTTTTTTTTTTTTTTTTTTTTTTTCCTCTCTTCTTTCAAACCTACTCTATTACCACCACTTTTCATAATACACGCGCTCCTTATCCCCAAGAAAGCCCTCAAGGTTGCCGACCACATCATCAGTCATCCCAGGCGGACCACACACATAACACACAGTCTCTGCCGCCTCAATACTACCATCAGGATTACTGATCGCCTTGCGTAAATCATCCCGATTAATCCTCCTCATATGCAGGGTCAGATCCTTAGATTCCGCAGAACCAGTAAGAGAACTTTGATCCAAACCAGGATCGGTGATGAAAAGGTCTAAACTAATCTGCAATCGACGAATTTGTGACTGCGACGCAATGATCTGTCGTAGACGTGAAAGGAACAATATTTGCTCCAGACTACTACCACCACCACTACCACTCCCGGTTACTGTTCCTTCTTCTTTCCGTGGGAGTTTCGTTGAGTACAGAAATCGAATATTGAATGACGGGTGAGGGAGAGCTATCTCGTCGCCATTGTTCAGATGCGATAGCATGGACATTAGTGGGCTGTGGTTGTGTTAGTAGTTAGCTACGAATTCTCTTTCCTGTTTATGAATCGACATCACACTCACTTGATCCCTACCCCGCCTGCCACGAAAACTACATTCCGAACTTTCGTTAAGTCCACGTTTGAAGACGGAGGCCATACAAAACTCCCTCCGACGCGGATACTAAGTTCCGTGCCAAGGATCTCATCCGCCGGTCGCCAGAGCCATGCGCTGGCTGGGTTGGAGGGCGCATATTGCACAGCTAACTCTACGTAGGGTGGCCGACCGCGCGGGTCGATGGGTGGAACGTCGGTTTCGTCGGTTGTGATTGCCTCGGCGGGAGATTCTAGGGATGGGAGGACTTGTGCGTCGGCTGGAGTGGAGGTAATGCTGAAGCCGCCTGCATTGGGGATAGAAGGGATATGAACGTCGAGCCATTGACCCGGGAGGAATGTTAGAGGTTGTTGGGGATTGGCTAACTGTTGGGTGTTAGCACGATGTGGTTGGTCGGGGAGCGGATATGTTGCTGTTAATATGAAAATTATAGGTATGTGGTTGGAATTATTATATAGAAAAAACAAAAAGGAAAGAAATATCATACTTCTTCCACTTCCTGACCTTCATCTTCGGCATTCTGGACCTCCGGGGGTATGGTCAGCTGTAGTAGCCGCACGGAAGGATTGGCCTGTTCGACATGCGACAGCCGGACATTGTACAGTCGGTTCTGGCGGGGTTCGGCAGCGGTACGCAATTGATGGGGCAGTGAGCCCTTCCGGTTTGTCGGGGAGCTCATGTGGTGTGCTTGATGATAGCAGCACAATTGGTTCGCAGTCGAGAGCCGGCGCTTAGAGAAGAGAGCTGATGGGGGATGGCGAGGTTGAACTGGGAGCAGTTGATGGCACTGCAGTAGTAGGAGTCTCCGCATCCGGAGGTCCAATGATTGTCGAGGACCGTTGTTTCTTGGAGAATATAGATAGTACTAGTCGTCTAGTACTCTGTAGTAGCTTGAGGATTCACAGGGCCAGCTGGCGGGAGGAGCCTTTAGTGTCTTTACATGGATTAGCAGGTATTTATTGCATTGGGATTGACTGTGTTGTGGTCAACAACAGCGTGTTGCTTCTTTGGTAGAAGTACGAAGTACTTAGTCGAGGGTAGATGGATGACGTTGGGGGATGTCATGTGCCTAGTTCAGTTGTTTGCAGCGAACTCTTTTTCTCTTCCATTCAGGTTTGGATGTATTCCCATCTTTGTGCGTCAACATCCACATTGTACTCACTCAGCAATAGTACTCAACAAGACAGACAGGGAACTGATGTGATGTTCCTAATGACTGCCAACCCCTCCCCAAGTTTCCTTATGCACGCGCAGTCACAACTACTAAGCTGATACTAAACAGCATCGCACGCGGTCTGCTTGCTCCACCTGGGCGCTTCACACTCTGATTGGGCAGTCCGGGCATCCTTTTCGATGGATGGTAATGGTCACATGATGCGACACCACCTCATTCATCGTCTCCCTGTCTCCACGCTTCTTTCCTCTGGCACGTAGGTATTGAGCCATCTGATGGTTAGCAATTATAGCTGGTACTCTCATGGGTTGCACCCACCAACCGGCGGGCAGATCCTCCTCCTAGTCCCGTTGCGTGAAGGGTTGCTGGGAGCATGCAGATCGCCTTCCCCATCACACGCCTAGCGTGTGACGGCCGTCAGCCAAACGGCTACTTCTGCCGCCTCATTGGCGATGCACCCCGGCCTGGCGCCGATGCTGGCGCTTCCTAGACGGCAAGCATTGGCCAGATGCAACCCGTTGGAAACATCAACTGCATTTCCCGCTTTCCTGGCTTGCCATTGCATTGCTGTGATATTGCCCCCTCTCTCCGTCTGGGCCATGCACCACAAGAGGATGGACGCTGGCGCTTCCGGGGTGCCAGACTTCTTATCCTCGCCATCGCCCCAGCTGATCACCCGGAGCTCCTCTCTGGTAGCCATTTTTGTTTCTCTGCTCTCATCTGTGTTTTATGGTTTGGTGTTTGATGCCAGTGAGCTGAACGTACAGCTAACCGGCCTGGCCATCAGTCGCGAGTGAAACACGAGCCCAAGCACTCCATTGAAAAGAGTTCTAGTTACTATCTTGATACTGTCCATTGCGATTCATTCCCCTAGCTGGCTTTGACAACATCCGAGTCCCTCAACACAAACAGCCATGATGCGCATGCGCATGCCGCCACTTCGTGATTTCTTTCCGACGAAATGGCGTAACCACAACTTGATGTATATATTCATGATCATTGAACTGCCTCTTACAATCATCATCCTTACGCTCACTGGTATCGCTTCTCACGACCTCTACCGGACGAAGCTCTGGCAAGATGGCGCAGACAATGGGTTCAATAGTTCACCAAACGATAGACTCTACGCCGCAGCCAACCATCGGCCCTTCAAGACCCCCATTGTCTGGAGTTCATTGTATGTGGAAGCCTTCTGGTTCAGAACCCATGGCTAACACTGAAACAGCATCACGGAGTACAACCTTGTCCTGGGCATCCTGAGTGTCTTCGTGTGGATTACAAAGATTCCGGTCCACATCCTCCACATGCTTACTCCGCCCTTGTCGGCCTTTGTCCATGCCGGCTTGATCGCCGTGTACATCTATTCCGTTCGCTACCAGGCTGGTCCCGATATGTCCGATCCCGAGCACCCTCAACCGGGTGCACCATGGTACATCTCGAAGAAATGCTCAGTGGCTGCTGTCAAAACAGACGTTCATTACTGTATGCAAGCCAAGGCACTATTTGCATTTTCCATAATTCTCATGTGAGGATACTCCTGTCCTCTAATACCCTTTCTCTGGAACAGTCAGCTAATCCGCCTTACAGCCTGTACTACGTTGCCGTGCTCGGCGTCAGCTTGCAGAATTGCGTCATGACGAAAGAAGAGCGCCAAGAACGGGAAGAGCTGCGCGAGGAGCGAAGAACCATGAAGGAATTCGAAGACTACGTGCTGAAGTCGCCTGGCATTCCTATGACCGTGCCGAGGCAAACCGGGCCAATGCCGACGGGCATGCCTGGCAAGGCATCGTTCCATAAGACTATCACTCGAAGCACTGATGTATCGTCGGCGGATCTCCCACTTCGTCAGCACTTCAGTTCACCAAACCCTCGCCGCTCAATGCACCAAGAGTCGGCGGAGACCCTTTCCGGACACCAAGCTCAGTCCCAAACATCCTTTGTGCAGACCAACAAGGCGAATGAGAGCTAACTGGCGTTGCAGTCTACCTAAGACTGGAGAGGTGCCTTGAGATCATTGCTAGTGCCTGTCAAGGGATCAACGTGCTCCATAGTTTCGGTTCCCGCTCGTTGTTGCTACGTTAAGACCGATATACTAGCTTACAATGACATGTAATGCCAAACAGTCGAATTCACACTTACTTTTACCCTCATATCTGGATGTCCTCTACTATTCCTACATCTACACCCTCAAGTTTTGATTTCTATACCATCTTGCACTGATATCATGTGGAGTTCGTCGGTTATATTTTCAAGTGTGATTGCAGGTCAGTCATCGGGATCATATCATGTTGTTTGTTCGCCTCCTGTCTCTACTTCGTCTAGTGTTATCGCGCTTCCCTTCCCCCACCTTCTCTTATTCACCCCCATTACGCTAAAATCCTTTGAGGTCAGCACCAATATATGTTGTTGTTGAATGACTGTTTCATATTAAGGTCTTTAGATTATATAGTAGAAGCCTATATTCTCGGGCTTTCATGCAAGCCTTAAAGCTCAAAGTTGGCTCTTGAGGCGCTCGTAAACTCCTCTCCGTTTGAGCGCGCGGTGTCTTTGAATAGCTAACTTCCCTGATATGCCCCTGCTTTTAAATCGAGTCCAATTGGTATGCGCTTTGCCAGTGGACTTGGCTCCATACTTGCGATATATTCCCAGTTCATCGAACCCAATAGACGGCTAAGTGATTTGCTCCTACTGTCTCGAAAAAATCTTCTATGCGGGAACCACGACCAACATCAACATGGTCTGTGTTAGGATACGTGCTACTTTTCCAGTATGAGGTTAGAAACTAACATCATGCTGAGTGTGTATCAGGTGCCTAGGACAAGGCTAAACATTCTATAGTCTTTACCAAGTGCTTCGCCAGATTGGTCGGCGCATAAATGAGTGATAACCACTATATCGGCCGAAAGTGTGAATTCATTTGAGCTAATGAAAGGAAGGATGAACGCAATGATCGGCAGGGAAGTAAGAGTGCCGATTTCCTGCCAACAGCAGCAAATAATACTAAGTAGCTGCCAGCCTTTACTATTTGTAGTAAATTGCATTGTGTTGATAATATATAGTGTCCTATTGCGGCAAGTTCATTGAGCAGAAAAGAGATGCCACGGTTTTTGCGGCATACTAGACGACCAGATTAGAGTAGAAAATATGGGGGAAGACATTTTGAGGAGATGATAATTGAGTTCATTCCATGTGGAATAAGTTACAAGAGGATGAAATTGTGTTTATTTCATAATGAACTGGTTTGTTAGTTAACACCAGTTATTTAAATACTAAAAAATCACATGACTGAGCATAAGAGAAGGACGAGCGTGCTCTGTAGCACGTGACCGCGACCGGACCATCTTGCTGCTAGCATATCGAGACTGGTCGAGATTCCACCCAAGTGACCTCTCGAACTCTCTCACTTGTGGCTCACTGACGTCCTCAACATGTCCCTTAGCCGGACCTCGTCTGCCTTGCGGCAATGTCGCCTACGATGGCACCCGGAAGCCATCTCCCTGACGCGCACTTTTACTCCCCTGAGCCATTCTACCCGCCATCGCCGGCTCTCGCGCAGTGAAACCAAATCTTTCCATACGACCCCCTCTAATGCTGCGCTACGATCTCCTACCGCTCGGAAGGCCCAATCCACCCGGAGGCAAGCCGTCTTCACAATTGACGGAGTATTCGCGCACGCTGTCCAAGGTGATGTCGAGGGAATGCTCCAAAGGCTGGAAAAGACCGTGGAGGAACACTATTATCGGTGGAAGGAAACCCACAGCTACGAGGGAAGTTACGGCAGCACGAAGCTGAGTCTCGAGAAATATAAACAAATCGCACAATCCCTGCTACGAACCGCCTATTCCCAGCCTCCATCATCACAAGCGATTCGCGCGATTTCCACGAATGTCGAGGTTATCTGGAACGTTTCGAGATGCCTACTCAGCCCGGATAACCGTGCCCTGGAAGTTTGGCTCCACAGTGCCTGTGCCCTCGCAGGCGCAAGATCCCCTACCCTCATGCTCGCCCATAGGAACCTCGATGACGCGCACCCGAACTACCCTCTACGCACCCAATTCCTGGATAAAGTTGAACAATGGGCGTTGCAAGATCGTGATCCTCGCGCCATGCATGTTTATGTGAGGACTCTAATTGCCCGAGGGGAGCATGAAAGCGCGGTGCCACTTATGGACGAGCTCATGTCGACCATCTATCCTTCACCACGAGTGGAGGGCCTGGAGACACCTCTTTCATTCTACAACATCCCCGAGGTGTGGCCAACGTACATCCGTCTACAGGAGGAGCTGAAGAAGAAGGGAGTGGATTGGGGCATTGGCAGAGATGAGCTGGCCCGTCTGGCGGGGGTGGACTACCAAGAGCCCAACTTCTTGTCAAATTATGCATCTGTGATGTTTGAGGCGGGTGATTATGAAAAGTATGAGCAGTACATGCATCAGGCTGCAATGGCCGGTATTCCCAGTGCTTGCACCTCTTTGGCCCATTTCTACTACCTGACTGCGAGAGGACTGTTCCCCCGTCGGGGTGAGAAGACATTTGTTCCGCGGTCAGCAGAAAACTCTAGAGAGTTACTCAAAAAGGGCAGACTGGAAACTCTTTACTCCAGCATTGTCCATGGTCTGCCAACCCATGAATACTACAATAATCTTGCCCTGGAGTGGTGGGAGCTGGGACTGAACATGGGCAGCGACTTATCCGCTATGTTCCTCGCTCTCGCCTACCGAGAGGTCGGTCAGCTAGACGTTGCAGAATCTTTTTACAAGCTGATACAATCGCCTCGTTTATTGGCCAGCAAATTCACCGCTGATGATCTCGCCATTAATTGGGACAATCCCGTTGCGTCCTTCTATGTGCCACGGCGAGTACTCAATGTAGAATGGTATGATACCGATGCCAAATGGACCACTGAGAAATAGCCAAAGAGAAAGGGAACCAAAGAAAAGTCACAACACCAAAACTACGCTTGTCTAGCGATGCCGGTAGTCGTACCAAGATGTGATATGTCACACGGAGCGCGACGCAATGCGAGAATGGCAAGGGTGAAAAGGGGCTTCGATTTTTCGGGCTCAGATGGATTCCTCGGTCTCAAAAACAGGTGTGGAAGGATGTCTGGTAAGGCGGTCTCGTGAGGTCAGTGCCGGCGTAAAAGTCCACTCGGGTGTTGCTGGACACGGGTGCTGTTTGTTGTTATGCTTGCTGGCCTGGTCGGTGCTTCTGGCCTTAAGCCTAAAAAGAGGCTTCTGCCCGCGATCCGGCTCGTCTCTTCGAGCGGTTGTGAAGGCAGAAGAAGCAAGTTCGAAGAGGTGAGTCGAATCGACGCTTCACTTTGAGGGAGTTCAAAACCTGCCCAAGTGCTTGCCGGTAGTAGTCGAGGTCACGGGAGGTTCAGTTATGGTGAGGGTTGCTGCAGGTGCAATAACCTGAGTGGTTGTTTCATCTTTGCAGCCGAACCATCCCGGGGTCTTGCAGGTCGTGGTCGAGGTCATGGGAGGTTCAGTTGTGGTGATTGTTGGTACAGATGTAATATCCGATGTGGTTGTTGGATCTTTGCAGCCGAACCAGCCAGGGGTCTTGCAGGTGGAGGTGGAGGTGGAGGTCGACGTTGTCTCGGTAGTCGTGGTTTGGTCTAAGCAGCCCCACCATCCAGGAGTCTTGCAGGTGGATGTCCTGCTAGTCGTAGTGGACGTGGATGTAGAGGTGGCCGAGGTGGTAGTAGTGATTTCAGAACCGTTACTGCGGAAGAATTTCCAGAGTTCACAATCGTAGCATTCCTCTTCAGGCGCACAGGGGGGCACATCGTCGTAACCAGCAAGAACATTGGCAATGACATAGTTTATGCGATGTTTGCTGAGACCAACACGCCAGCCTTTGTCTTCAACAGTGTCATAGACACACATCTGGCCAGTATGGCATGCGGATTCCATGGCATAGCCACCCCAGGTACAAACTGAGCTAACTCCATTGCAAGTTCCCATGTAAACCGGGTCTGCCGTATGTCCGAAATGATACGACCCAGTGTTCCTTCGTGACTGAGGGTAACGTGAGTCATGTCCTGGTGGGCTGGGAAGACCTAAACGAGCTGCTGGGAGTGCTTCCGGAACAGCTTCAAAGGTGACGACTGGTACCCCAAAAGTTAGACCTAGCAAGCTGGACACAGCACCACCTAAAGAATGGCCGGTCAGCCAAACGTTGGCATTTGGGTACATCTCGGTAATGTTAGAGTAAAGGTCGAGTGAGGCGCGATAATATCTGTTCTCATCTAGCATCGCCTCAACGATGCATGTCAGGTTCGCATTGTACAGAGTTGTCTGGCAATCGCAGACTTGCCGCCAGAGGTAAGAACCGCCCTGGCCACAGCAGCAGCTGAAGAATAAATTGTCGTTGATTTTATCATTTGTGGTAGTGCCTTCGCCATCGAACAAGGCCGGTGAGGTTCCCTTGAGGGAAATGACAACAGTGCTATTTGTCTTATCGGCATATACGTGACCACGGAGTCCGTCCCCTTGCCACCCAAAACTTCCGGAGTGGTTGAACCGACCATGAATATCCTGCCAATCGCCAGTCCCAGGTACCTCGATATAGTCATTTGCCGTCATCATTGCTAAAGCAACGACAGTCTTCTTCTCTGTGACATTTGGGCCAGGCAGTGTATCCATAACCCAATCGGACGGCGACAGCGCAACTGCCGAGCCAGAGGATCGCGCAGTCACAAGATGTTCCTCAATGACCGAGAGGCGTCGGTCTGCAAGTCTTTCGATTGTGAGGGGTTGTGACGAAGCAACCAGCGGAGTATTCGGTGTGACGACATCGGATTCGATCCCTGCGTCTGAGACGGCCCGAAGACGAGTGTCTGGCGTGATATCAAGCCTGCGGTGGAGATCGGGATCTTGATAAGTTCCTCGGTGGAAAATATGGCGAAGCGTGAATTCGTGGGTGTCTGAGAGGGGAGGCGAGTCGCCCAGTGGGATCTGAGGAGGGAGGAAGGGCGATGATTGTCGGGATCCGAGGTATACGGGCTGATAAGCGGAGATCAGGCCTGGAAGTAGTGTCACCGGCCATAGCAGGTCGGAAAGTCTTGTGTTCCCCCAAAATGACTTCTTATTATGCCCTCGAAGGCCTTTCATGGCGATACAGTGATGGTCAAAGATGCAGGGATGATGCTGAGAGCTAAGAACGATGGCAACAGGGTCGCTTTAGATAAACGGGTCCATCCTGTAGATAGATAGCAGTAGTTGAGGTGGCCACCGACTGGGCTGGCAAGTGGATACGCGGTCACGTGAATGCTACTAGGACCTCGGCAGTGGCCCGCAAGGTGGAATGCAACAGATGGACAACACAAACAAACACTCCATCTGGAAAGGTATAAACCGCATACAACTTCACATAAACTGTTCCTTCTCCAAAAACATGTTTTTCAATGCCAGGAACCCCTAGGTTACTGGTGGCACCCGCTTTGTACATGACAGGTTGATGAAGTGTTCAGCTACTGCGG